GTAAAAACAAAACAGTGTAAAAAGTATAAAAGCATACACAATAGTGGCTCAGACATATGTGTTTTAAGAACATTACAGAATCAGGTGTGATTTGAGAACGTGCAGACAGCATACATACAAGTTGCCCAGGCACCAGGCTGCTTCCCTGGGTCAGCCTGGTGCCCCCAGGGTGCAGGAGGCCCTGGCGTCCACGTGGCAAAGGCTGGGGAGACCCTGGAGACCTGGCACAGTCCCCATTCCCTGTGCTAGGAGCCGGAGTTGAGTGGGACGTGGCCGTCAGCAGACACTGTAGTAGGAGCGAGGAGGCAGCGAGGAGCCAGGCGAGGGGTGAACAACGGGCCGTGTGATCTGTGTGCCAGAGGAGGTGTTCCCAGGGGATGACCAGTGTCTGAGAAGTGAGGGGCACTGTGGCAGGGACAGCTCCAAGCACAGTGCCCGGCACACACGGAGCTCGTAAAGGTCTTTTTTGGGATTGAAAGGAAATTCTAGCGGTGTCTGACACACCGTGTCTCTTTCAGGTGGGCCCTCGTGTTCCTCCAAATGTCTGGTCACAAGGTGACAATGGGGCCACCTGCCTGGTTTGAGGACTGTGCCGTGAGCGTGTGGTCAGTACTGTCCCCACTGTCCCCTGTGTTGCAGCGTGGGCCGAGGCGGGATGCAGAGCTTCCTGATGCTGCTGAAGGAGAGCGGGGGCACCTTCCCGCCCCCTGTGGAGCTGGTGGACCTTGTGGGAAAGCTGTGCTGGGACCTCCGGGATGACCTCGCCCAGGTGGAGCCCTTGGTGGAGGCCGTGCTGGGGAGCCCACTCCGCCTGTACCTGCTGGACAGAGAGGATGTGGTCGTGGCGTGTGTGCTTGTCCTGGCCCGGCAGGAGCAGCATCAGGCAGCCTGCAGGCTCTTGGAGGTAGGGTGGGCCTGCGGGGGGCACAGAGCAGGGGAGCCCAGAAGTCATCCAGAGTCCGCGGCCCGAAAGGAAACCTCCTCTTCCCCGCCTCCATTCACTCAGTTCTAGTTAGCCTGGCGATCTGATGTAAAAATGTTCCTTTATCAGATATGTCGTGAGCAGCAGCCCTGTGTCAGGCTCTCAGACAATTAATGAAAGGAGCGAGAGAAGAAAACCCCACCACGTCATGTCTTGAGAGTTAACATTCTCGTCAGTGGGACAAACAGTTTCCAGGACTCCCATCCCTCATCCAACACTCTGAAAACCCAGAGTAACTTTGAAGCTCATCTGGTGGCACATTGAGCCTGAGCTTACGTGGCAGCAAACCCTGACCTGTGCTGGTGCGAAGCTATTTAGGATCTTTCTATCCATGAACTCCATAAATAAGAGTGTGTCTGATTACAGAACGTGGCCCCAGATCATGCTGGGGCGGTGCATGACACACATCTCCCATCACTTCCCCAAATCTGAAAAATCTTGAATTCCAAAATCCATCTGGCACAAAGAGTGTTGAATAAGGGACTGTGGGTCTGTTTTCCCCCTCTCTCACAGTGGTTAAGGGTTACGGCTACTAACCAAGGGTCGGCGGTGGAATCCACCAGCCGCTCCTTGCAAGCCCTGTTGGGGCAGTTCCTCTCCGCCCACAGGGTCGCTATTAGTGGGCAGTTCCTCTCCGCCCACAGGGTCGCTATTAGTCAGAATCGACGCTACAGCAGCGGGTGTAGCTTGGTTTGTGTTTCACCTCACACTACAACCCGTGCATAACTATCTGGAGTCTACCTGCAGACACGCCTCAGTTCTATCCTGTTCTTTCTTGGCAGCGTCCTGGCTGCTCCCTGCCCCACTCTCTCCTGCCCCGTCCACTCTCTTCTTCACGCAGCACCCGGAGGGGTTTTTATAACGACAGACTGGACCGTGACGCGCTGCACAGCTCTGGCCCCCGCGGCCCCCCGCCTGTTGTCCAGTCTTGTCTCCCCGGTGTCCTCTGCAGTGGCTGTGCTGGGTTCCTTTCTGTCCTCAATCTAGATATTTACTATCTCAGGACCTTTGCACGGACTCTTCCTTCTGCTGGGCTCTTTGTGTGCCTCGTGCCCTCTGACCCTTCAGGCTTCTGCCAAGTGTCACCACTGCCTGGAGCCTTTCCGTATAACCCCATCGAGGCCGTCCCCGTCACTCTCCAGGGTTGCCCTGGCTAGCCGCCACAGCCCCTTCCCCATGTATTTGTGTGTCTGCGGATCACGTTTCCTTCACTGCACTGAAGCCCCGTGAGTGAGGGCCCCCCAGTCCTGCCCGTCCCAGGGACCACTGGCACAGCTTAGCACCTGGGGCTGGCGGGGGCTTGAGCTTTTCAGATCTGTCGGTACGAATGAATGACGTGAGAAACATGGGAACACATCCTCAGAGCTGTCAGTGGGGCAGCGATAGAGAGCCCCAGGAGAGGGCTCACACACCCAGTCAGGGTCTGGGACCTCTGGGAGCAGACGTGTGAGCTGAGGGATGAGTCTGAGCTGGCTGTGGCGTCCGTGACGGTTCCCTGGTGCTCCAGCACGAGGCCAGTGACTGCATCCTGGTGGGAGAGGACACGGCAGACCAGCCCGCAGACACATGGGCTGCAGGTGGCTCTGGGTGGGGCCTCCAGCGCAGGGCCAGCCAGGATACCGGAACTTTTCCGTTGTGGGGAGAGAACATTGTTTACATCGAGACTCTGAGAACGTTGGTCAATATCATCGAGTCGGAGGGCAGCCTCACGTGGGTGACTCGAGTTACATGAATGGCAACAGCCTTACAGGCCAGTGATGTGGGCCCCTGATCAGGAAGGCCCAGGTCAGTGCAGCAGGTCCTCCTGGTGTCGACAGGTCGGTGCGTGGTTGCTGACACAGATGGGGTCCCTCGTCCCACCCAGCGCGGGGTGCAGCAGGCACGTGGCAGCTGGCCTTCTTGCAACATGGCTTTGCTCACCTCCTGTGCACCCTGGGAGGGCTGGCACCCTGAGTGACCGGCCACCCAGGGTCACACTGCGAGGCTGGCAGGGATTTCCAGCCTTGCCATCTGACTCCAGGGTGCCCCGGTGAACAGTGAGAGTGGGACTGGAACCCAGGCCCCTGCTCTTCCACAGACGCCTCGGCCTGTGCAGGGCTCGGGCTGGTCCGGGAGGGCGGCCCCAGGTGCCCCCAGCCCCAGGCAGCTGCGGCTCAGCCAGGCTCTCCCCGGCAGGATTGTCGGGTGCCAGGGGGGAGCTTGCAGCTGGCGCAGCTCTGGAACGACATCCAGTACCATCTGGCCATGAGGAAGATGGGCGTGGCTGAGCTGACCCCCATGCAGAAGTTCCGCTGCAGGCAGAGGTATGTTTATTCACTCAGGCCCTGTCGGGCGCCCCAGGGATTGAGGTGGGGTCCAGACAACACAGAAGAGGGGAAACAGGGCGGCACCAGTCAGATGGAGCACAGCGGTGACCATGGGCTGGTGTGAGCGAGCTCTTTATGCACCACTGGGATAGGCTGGGAGGGCTCGGGCTTACCCTGAGTGGTGACCAGGGCTGGCCAGGTTGGGGACATCATCCTCATGCCTGCAGGGCAGGAGGGAGCAGTCTCCAGGACCCAGAGGGAGGTTGGCTGCAGGGAGGCCGGGCTGAGCACCCTCACCTCACCTTCCTCCTCTGACCTCTTCCCAGGCCTCGCCAGTGAGGGCGCCATGGGAGGGCTGCGCTAGGCCAGGCGGTCAGCGCAGGCTGTGGGCCCTGGAGGGAGGCCTCAGCTGGGCAGGAGCTGCCCAGGCAGAGGGAGGGAGATGTGCAGAGTGTTCACCCACTAATGGGGATGCTTCAGTAGAAGAAAAATTCATGGTGAAAGGGAATAAAGGCAGGAGATCATCCTCCAGTCGGGCCTGGCCGGGAACCAGCATTGCAGGCAGAGTCGAGACTGAGTGCCCAGCACGCTGGGATCTCAGTGACAGTCTTTGGTGACAGGCCCAGGAGTCCCAGAGGGGCCAGGAGGCTGTGTGGGAGGAGCTCAGGGACACACTGCGAGTGTGGGTGCTGTTGAGGGCTCCCGGGGCCATGCTGTGGGAGGGGGCGGTCAGAGAGCACCGGGCGGGAGTGCTAGGACGCGCCACCGGGCTGGGGACACGCCTGGAGTGTGGGTGCTGTCCTGGGGGCCGCACTGCGGGAGGGGGCGGTCAGCGAGCACCGGGCGGGAGTGCTAGGACGCGCCTGGAGTGTGGGTGCTGTCCTGGGGGCCACACTGCGGGAGGGGGCGGTCAGAGAGCACCGGGCGGGAGTGCTAGGACGCACCACCGGGCCAGGGACGCACCTGGAGTGTGGGTGCTGTCCTGGGGGCCGCACTGCGGGAGGGGGCGGTCAGAGAGCCTCCAGCTCTTACGCATGCTTGCATATGGGGCTGGAGAACCCCTGAGGTTCCTGCGGTAGGGAGCGCCTTCTGTGTCTTCGTTTCTATGTGGAGAGAAGAGCTTATCTTCTTCCCCAAACTGAGGACAGAGAGGCTTCACCAGGAAGAGACCTGGGGGTCACTTCCACAGAGGACAGGGCCTTGAGTAAAGGCGAATTTGGGGGTCCTGTTCTGAGGTCTCCTCCTCCTGTCCTCATCCAGGAACCCCCCACCCCCCTCCCTCTGTCCCGAGGGCCTGAGGAGCCGGTACTTCCCCAGGGAGGTTCGACAGAAGCTGCAGGACTTCGCCTTAGGCGTGAGCACCAACCCCAACAAGGCCCAGCGGGTAAGAGGAAGCCGGCCCCACCTGCAGCCCCTCAGACATCCTGAGTGACCCCCAGCTGCCAGTGAGGGTGGACTGGGCTCCCCTCGAGCTTGCCTGGGATGGAGGGTCTTGCTGGCCCTCAAGGCAGGCCCTGCAGTGTGGGGCTGGCTTTTCCAGGGGGCCCCACCCTCACTAGTAGGTGGCCATGGCAGGAGGACATAGTCTGTTCTCCCTCAGGGGCTGCATCCCCCAGCCACTGCCCAGAGGAGCGAGGACCCACACCCTCGTCCTGGAGGGATCGAGGCTGACTGGTGGCCCTTTCTCAGTGGAGAGGACGGTTGGGGCCGCCTCTGTGCCTCTTGGTGTGAAAGCAGGCCCGGGGTTCTGTCGTCTCCTGCAGGAGATCCTGTCATCAGAGACGAGTCTGTCAGACGAGCAGGTCTACAACTGGTTTGCCAATTATCGCCGGAAACGAAGAGCCCTTCTCCAGCGTGTGGAGCCAGCATGGGGGACCTCAGCAGAAGGCCCTGGTGCCTGGAGGAGGGGTCCAGAGCCCCCTCATCCCTCAGGGGACCCCCATTCTGACCCTCAGTGTGTGGACACGTCTCAGTGGTCAGGTGAGTGGCCCGAGGGTCCAGCCTCCTGTGGTTTGGGGCGATGCTGGTCCCCCACTCGGCCCCTGCTCTCCACTGTGTCCAGGGTCACTCTGGTCAGGCAGGGCGGCCCCTCAGGAGGGATGGGGTTCACCCAGTGGTGAGAGATAAGTCAGGCTGTAGGTAGAACAGTTTTCATCAGGCAGTGAGGTTCCTGAGGCTGATGCTGGGCACAGGCTGGGTTCGGGTTCGTCTCTGGTGTTGGGCCTGACCATGGGGTTGTAGTAACCATTTTATGCTGTGAGCTTACCGTGTGGCCAGGGGAAGAGTTGGCTGGTGACAGCGTCATGTAGCTGCAGGGAGGGAGCTGGTGAATAAATCCAAGGGGCCAACAAAGCACCAGGGTTTGGGCTGTCCTGTGTTCTGTGGAATGCTGGTTCAGACCAAAGAAGGAACGAGAGACAAAGTATATTGGGGTTAACTCTTATCTTCTGGGAAGCACAGCTAGAGCCTGAGGGAAGAAGGCCATGGACTCAGGGCTCCACCAAGCCTCCCCCATATGACTGTGCTCTGCTCTCATCAGGGCAAGAGGAAGAGGGGCCTCCATGGTACCCAGAGACCACTCAAGGACTGTGGGCACCGCTGGCTCCCACCCTGGACCTTCCTGGTGACGAGATGCTCTCAGGGCCACCAGCTCTCAGGTACTGAGACCCCACAGCTACCCAACCAGCTCACCTGTCTGGCCTTCTCCTCTTCCCCAGGGGTAGACCTGGCCCCCTGACACTGGGGCCCAGGGCGGTGACAGCTGAGAGCAGAGATGGCCGTGGTCCTAAGGGTCAAGGGGAGGCACAAGCAAGGGATCGCATCGTGGACAGTTGAAGCAGCATCCCCCAACCCTGAGCGTGCTCCCTGGAGCCTGACTTCCTCTGTCACACAGAGAGTGGGGGAAACAGCCTCAGAGAGAA